CACTCCTCGACGGGCATGACACCGTTCTTTGTAAAAAAAACAACGCTCGACATCCACGTGCTCCGGCACTTCTCGCCGTGGGCCACCCAACGGATGCTGGCGGCTCCACCCTTGGTGGGGGAGAACCTCCTTCGGTCGACATGGATGCTGAAGCTGCGGTCAGTCCTGCGGACAACGAGTCCGTGTGGTGGTCATCACCGGTACGTGAACCGGTGTCTCAGCGCGCACCGATAACGTCACGGGTGCCAACAGGCCTGCCGGCGCGCTTGACTCCAGGGCTATCTTTGGGTGTGGCCAGTGGGAACGCCTTGACTCGCTCTCCGTCCAAGAAGACCATCGAGACTCCTCGGCGTACTGCATCTCCGATAACGAGTTGGATATCGCAGAGCTTGATCAATCCAGGCAGCAAGATTCGCGAGCAGGAAATTACCACGGCCAATTATACACCGAATCCCTCGGTGCTCCCAGCCGATCGCTCGGCAGTTGAGGAATTCGTCATGCAGAGGCAATCCGTCTCAAGGTTCGTCCGCGACACACAGCAGAACGCAGTGGACAAGCAAAAGAAACAAGCTGATAAGCACGTTCGAAAGAACGTGAATGTATTTAAGATAGGAGATCGCGTTCTCCTATAGACCGAGGAAATCCGCGCTTCTACCGTAACCAACCTCGGCGCCAACAAACTTGCTCCACGCTTCATCGGTCCTTTTCGAGTAATCAAGGCTGTGGGCGACGCCTACATCCTGAACATCCCGTCGTCACTTAGACTCCACCCGACTTTTTACGTCGGGCGCCTCAAGCGGTACTTCGCTGCGACGATTCCTGACCCGAGCCAGCAGATGGAGCATGCGTCGGGCGACCAGCCCGACGAGCCTGACGCGCCAGAGACCCGTCAGCCCCAGGCGCCCGCTCTCGCGGATGATCACCCTGCTGGGCAGAGCCAAGCCCACGCGTTTTAAATCCCCGTAGGCGAGATAAGAGCTGCCGATTCGACTGTCGAAGCTCCGACGCGATCTGCTCAGCCCACGAGGCACAAGTCTTTCCCCCAATCCCCCAATCTGAGCGTCCAACGCACGGTTCGAAGCTGTCTCCATCTCGCCCTGGACGTACAGGGCGTACGTCGTATCGCCGTTAAGGCCCATCACCGATAATTGACTCGGTGGGTGATGCGCGCTAAATTGTGGAGCGTATCATTCACCACGAAGATCCCCACAGCTCGGCCGCTTAGCGTAACGTCCGTAGTCGTGCCCCTCACGCGGCCCCGACCGCGCGCCGCTATTTGGTACGTTGGCTCGGTTATTCCCCAGAGCATGATACGTGGGAGCCCCGCACCAACCTCCTCCGCGACGTTCCAGACGTGGCCTACGAGTATGAGACCATGCTGCTTGAGAAGACGAACTCCGTGGGTCACCCCGCGGAGACCGTGAACGAGATCGAGAGCGCTCACACGAGCGACCCGCACGAGGAGGCGACAACGAAGCCCCGACGCGTGCAATGTCGGCGTGAGCCGCCGCGATTAGCCGCCTGATCCATACTGGACAGAGTGTGCTCGTACTTCCCGATCCATCCCGACTCTTCTCCGCTGAGTGACCGCTCGGCGAGATGTTCCCTCCATTCGCGTTGAGTCGGACGGGTTGAAGTACCACAGGACTCACATCCATCTCTCACGTGCACAAAGCAGAGTCGATCCATATCCCACGCGTTGTTGCAGACGCATAGCTCTCCAATCGAATGATCCGCGAGGACCTCCTCACGATACGCCAACCAGTCGACACAGCTTTCTCCAGCACGCGACATCCGGTTCCACCGCCGAATGAAGGCACACCAGGAGCGACGAAGTCCCTCACGATCAGCGCCTTCGATGTACTTCTTCCGCGTCGCGCGGAAGCGGTTCTTCATAGTGTCGAGTGTATCCGGATTCTCCGCTCCTGACAGGTCGTACAGGTCCCAGGAAACCAAAGCGTCATCCATCACGCGCGACCGCGTTCTCCCGGTGCTGATTCTCGTGACTGTCGGCTCTGCGGGTTACCGCCGCCGTTAGTGTGTCGACGCCTGCTGCTGTCACCAGCGTCGCGCTGGTGCTGACGCCCGTTGACTGCGTCGTGTTGTCCTCGGCCATCTTCGCTCCGTTGGGTTTTCGAGTTTTCTTCAAATGTGTTCCGTGCGCTTGCGTTGCGTATGCGTAACGTAAGCGACGTCTTCTGCTTCTTGCTTCCGTGATGCACCGTAGCAATTTTCTTGGTATTGCTTGTCGAGGTTTTCGCCGACTGATCCTGAATATTGGATCTGAAAATGGGTCCAGCTTCTCGAGACGGATCCTGATCCGCCTTCATACACTCACATTGCGCCTTTTAATGACCTTCGCCGAAGCCGTAAAAACACCCTTGACCTCGACCAATGATGTTCACATCTGATTTACGCTTATTGACGACTGTCTCTACGACGCGGATCGCCGATTTTGCCTCGCTCTAACCGACATTTGTTTTCTTAGAATTGTTAGCAAATCCAGTTTGCTTAGGGCGATCCCTTCCTTTTCGCCGTGAAAGATTCCTCCGTCAGCTCGACAGACGATGCCCGTATTTCACAGGGAAGCCGCGCCAAAACGTTTACGCACATCATCGTCCCCATCATCATGTCCATTCCGAGGACCTTCCTGAGCCTCCAATTCGTCTATTTTCGCGCCTGGTTTAGCTGCAAGAACAGGATGGTGGTGCTCTTCCAAATCGAGTTGAAAATTTAATTTCAACAATTTGTTAGCGAGACCAACCTACTTGCATCACCGAGCCCAAACATACGCTGAAGGTGTTGCGAACCCCGCACACCTCCCAGTTCTTTACATCGTCTGGCAAAGACTATATAAACGAGCTCGGTAGCGTCGTGTTGAGGACATGGCGTGCGGCAGCATCTTACCATGACCCCCCCCCTTCGCATGCCCTTTTCGCTCCTCTTTCAGAGCCGCTTCCGCGTCTTCACCCAAAAGACGTTCCGGCGTCAAGTATAAAGAGTCGCGCATGCCAACCTTGGGTCGGGAAACCCTTTCTCGAGGAGCTCGTTCTCGACGTCCAGGCCCGTCTTTGACACCTGCGGGAGCAGCTTGTCTTTACAAGAAGCATATTCTATTTGCCGACCGGACAACTTTTCCAAGCCAATATGCACCATATCCTCTTGTTGCTTCACGACAGTCGCCTAAAGTATCTGCAAATGCTGTTATCTTGTACGTAGCTGAAGCTGTAGATGTAGCTAACGCTAGACGAGGCGGCTCATTGTTTGCCATGACTAGCTCTGATCAGTTTATTGTCTTAGGCAAGCAAAACCATACAAATACTAAGTTTCGGGCATCTGTTTCTAAACGACATTAGAAAGCGATCTGATTACCCAAAAGCTGGTACTATCCGGATAAACCTTTAAAAACATTTGCCATACTGTGACACGAGCCATGATGTCGATGGGCTCACTCCACCGCTTGGCAACGGAGCGCAACATACGCTCGATCCTCTTCCACCTGACACCAGCGACGACGAAGAGAGCATTCCTGCGAGAGCCGGGCGCTGAAAATGTCGGCATGCAAATTGTTGGGGGTCTTATCGTATTCCTGATTGACGCACTTCTATCTTGCAGGCAGTCCGGGCGCTTAAGACGTTGGTGATGAGTGCTTACACTTGAAAAAGAGATACCCATTGGGACTAAGAAGCCTACCGACTTAATGCAGGCATGGCTACCGACTAGGGCTCATCGGGGACTCAGGTGTAAACGACTCGACCGTGCTGAGTGCATTCCACCTGGTTTACGACCACGAGGAGGTGCCCAGACATTGAACACAAGTTCAGCCCACCCTTCTTAATCGCCACTTTGTGTGCACTGACAGAATGGCAAATCAGTGTACGAGATGGCCTCAAAGGAGATGAAGGTGCCGCTGAATAGGACGCTGCTTGTGACAGATGCGACGCTGTCGGCAGGCTCGGATAGTGGCGCAATTTCAGTTGCCCTGTCAACGCAGTCGGAGATAGCTGTATCACAGCCACTTCTCGCTACGCTCGTAGCAGGTGGGTCGAGCGCTAATGCTATGATAATATTGTACTTACAATTCACCGTGGCTACGTGCGCGCCGCAAGACTTGCTGAACTTCGACAAGTGTCTCGACCCCGCTGGCCGGTGCTTCGGTTCTAAACGCGTGCTATTCTCTCAAGTGTTTTACGAATCTTCACTCTCGTTTGCGCTGGTCAATCTCAAGCCCATTGTGCCAGGTTTGTGCCCATCGAGTGCCTCAGTTTAACAGCGACTGGCGGTTAGCTAAGCGAAATTGCTGAAGGTCACGTACTCGTTGTACCGAAGCGACCGGTTGCTCGTTTTGAAATGCTCGACGTGGACGAAGTGAGCGATTTGTGGACCGCTGCTCAAGTACGTCTGATGGTGCTAGCTGTTCATGGAATTTGTAGCAACTTTCGCTAACTGAGGTTGCTCTGCAGCTTGTTGGCAAGCAAGTGGAGCAATATTACGGCGCTACTTCCCTCACATTCGCGATCCAAGTGCGACTCAGTCACGGTTAGACGTAAAAGGTTATATTGGCACTGACAACTATAATACACTTCTCACCAGGACGGCAAGGAGGCGGGCCAAACGGTCAAACACGTGCACATCCACGTGATCCCCCGCATCGCCCAGGATTTTGAAGTCAACGAAGACATCTACTCGGAGGTATCGTTTCAACACCTTCCAAACTCGCAAGGTATTCATGTTTCTCATCTGCTTCCCTGCCCGCAGATCGAAAAGCACGAGCATACGTTGCGTGTTGACAACGAGGCGCGAACAGCCCGCTCCGAAGCGGACGAGGCCGCACAGCTTCGCGCGCTCTTCTCTTAAGTTGCAGCAACAAATTAGTGCGTCACTCAAAAGCTGAAGCTGTATCTACCAATCACAACGGTTAAAACCTGCCCTTAATACAAGCCTCATCTTTGTGGAAACCTGGTGTCATTCTCAGATCCGCCCAGACGTAGCAAAACGGGATGACCTTCACTCCCGACGATGCGTGGGGTCTAATCTGTAAGGGCTGTGACGCCCTGGTAGCGCGCCACTCGCAGCTCTCCTTCATCCTGGAGAACGCGACGGGCGTGCACCTCACCCTGGACAGAACGCTGCTGCGCTACGAGCAGTTCGGTGAGAGTTGGCGCGTCTCCAGCCACTCAGGGGTCCTCCCAGAACTTAGGTTCACCAAGATCCACACTAAAAACGCGTTTAAGCGACAGCGCCTGCCCTTTGAGCTGTGCTGCGTCCACTGTGACGCTAAAGTGGCGTCTGAGGGATTCCTGGACGAACTGCCGGACGAGTCGATGCTGCTGTTGGACTCGAAGTCGTGTACCTTTGTGTTGGACAGAAAGTTCCCGTACTGGATGACGGGGGGTGCCAAGGGCAGAAAATGGGGCGTTATTCTACGACAACTGCAGGAGTTGAAGCTTCCCCTGAAGGTTTACAAGGTTCAAGAGTTGGTCGACGTTGAGAGGGTTTACAATGCGCAAGAAAGCGATGTGTTGCCTGTGGTGCACCCGACGGTGGCCAGAATTCGGAGCCACTTTAGTCCTAGGGCAAAGATGTCCCAGTTGCGGCGGTATCAAGTGGAGTTGACGATCTCAGCGTTGCTAGAGAACACAATTGTGTATCTGCCGACGGGTTGCGGCAAGACTTTGGTGGCAATCAAGGTCCTGGATGAGATGAAGCACCTGAATCCGAACAAGTTGGTGGTGTTCTTTGTGCCCACGGGCCCGTTGGTGTCGCAGCAAGCTGCGTATATCCGACGAGAATCCGATTTTCGCGTGAAGGAGATGTCAGGCCAGCATGGACGCACTGGGGCGGCGACTAGCGACCCGATTACAGTCGATGGGGATGTTGATGCTCTGGCGGTGACGCCTCAGTACTTTTTAAATTTGCTGTTCAATGACCGCACGAAGATCACGGATTACAGTGTGATGGTGTTCGACGAAGCACATCACGCGACTGGGAATCATCCGTACTGCGAGTTGCTGAAAAAGCTGGCAACAATTGACCTTCGAACTCGACCACACATCCTGGCGCTGACGGCCTCGCCGTTTGGCGAGGGAGTGCGAGAGACGTCAGGCCAGACTGCGCTGAACAACCTCGCTCGAGCATTTAACGCTGTGGTCAATGCTCCGACAATCGCTGCAGAGGACTTGGAGGCTAGTTTTATCCCGAAGGAGGCGCAATGGGTCACTGTCCAAGAAAGTGAGCACGAACGTAAGCTTCGGGAGGGGATCAAGCGCTACATCGAGTCGTTCTATACGCTGATTAGAAGACTGATGAACGGACAAGTGATACCATTCGAGGGGAACTATGACACTGATGACATGGAGCTGTCCCAGTTCCTGGCAAAACTGCGTATCTTACGAGAACAAGCAGAGAAGATGGCGAGGGGACCCAAAGCTGACACTGATACGACTGGAGTTGAGAAAAGCAAACGCTCATTGTCCGATCTGGAGCTGATTTTCCAGCATCTGCTGAAGGTGGCTTCGTCTTTTTACAACCTGAGTATCCATGGTGCTGGAACTGTTGCCGAAGCACTGCGGCGCATTTTCAGCGACTTGGAAGCTGCGGAATCCAAGAAGGGGAAGCGTGCCTTTGTGCTGGTTGAGCCAGCCTATCGTGCTATCATGATCCCGGCGCTAGTTAACTTTCCTCTCGAAACGTTCACTGGGACGGATATCTCTAATCGTGTGCACCTTGTCGCAGAGTGCATCCGGAGGGCCAACTTCGACCACAACTCACGAGCAATTGTGTTTGTGCGGCGTCGTAAAACTGCGATTCTGCTGGCAAAAGCAATGGAAGCGCTGGATGTGCTGCGTGAGCTGAACCCCACGCGTTTCGTTGGTCACAATTCTTATGAAGGCATGTCGTGGGAGGAGGAGCAGCGGCCGACACTGGATCGTTTTCGACAAGGACGCATCCGCCTCTTAGTTGCTACTAACGTGCTTGAGGAAGGCCTTGACGTGCCTGAATGCTCCCTAGTCATTCAATTCGACGGAGTGATTGGAGTGACGAGTCTCATCCAAAGTCGAGGCCGAGCACGTCACCGAGACAGCAGCTTCATCATCTTCTGCTCTGCAGTAGGGAAGGAGCGCAATCAGCGACTTGTGGAGAATGAAAAACGACTGGTCTTGATGGCGAATAAGGCGGCCGCGAGATTAAATTCCAAAGCTACAGTGGAGGAGTTGATGGGCAGTTACTCAGAAGACATGGCTGTCGATCCTTCAGTCGCTGCGAATGAAGAAACATCGGCATTGGCAGCTCGGGCAACATTTGACGCAATGGCTGATAAGGTGTACAACATCGTGCTGGGCGGTGCGTTTATCGGTGCCGACAAACAGCTGCAGCAGGAGATCCTGGAACGAGTGAGTGAGTTCGCCTCGGTACGAAGAGCAGACGAGGTCATTGGACTCTGCACTGTTGCCGCATCTCCTGACCAAAGCATCTATTCATCCTACAACTCACTGTGCTCTGGTGTCGAGTTTTTTGTTCAAGAACAGTCGTTTTGGATGCGCTTTGAAAGCGATGATATGGCGAATGCAGCGGGCGGACAAATTGCTGAGAACATTCCCAATATCGGACTGCGTCGTGGATTAATGACACCAGATGGAGCTTTCATGGAACTGGAAAACTTTGGCAATGCCAATAGGTCACTAGGTGACATCGAGTTGGCAGCGGATGCACTGATCGTAGATTTTGGCTATCGGCGTGTGGAGTTCGATTTACGAGCGCTGAATGCGCCGCGGGTGTGGTTCGATTTGATTCCTACAGCAGGAAGCGCTGCATCTATATACCTCTCGCTTCGCCTGCCGCCTTCGTGCTACATTGAAGATGAACGCGAGTGTAAGGGGTGCCAGTCACACGCACTTGTTTATCGCTTAGTTTTGCCTCACTCGGACCAATTGACGACTCACGTATGGAATCTCCGCGTGTTTTTCTCAAAGCTTGGAATTGAAGTCCGCGAAACGAAGATACCCCAGACAGGCGGGAGGAGTACGTCTTCCACAAAGCTACGCTTTGCGCTATCAGTAGCATATTCTCTTCAGTGTCTACTTTCCGACTGCAGTTACTTCACGAACGGATTCCTGCCACCTGCTTTCTATGAGCTGCTGACGGAACTTGACGAAGATGTTCAAGAAAAAGCTCTTCTAGCGTTTCGTGCGCACCCAAGTGATGTCAGTATTACAGATCAGTTTTCGAGTTTTCTTAAAGAAGAACGGTCCACTCTGGAGGGGTTATGCACCAGCCCGTCCTTGAACCCAGAGTCTATCGTTTATAAGGTCATTGTGACACCTTCGAGGATCGTGTACTGTCCACCTGATCCAGCACCAAGCAATCGCGTATTTCGTCATTGGGGCTCGGAGAACTTCATGTACGTGTACTTCCGTGATGACAATATGGAGCGCTTGGACTTCAGGTCCGTGACGATCTTGGAGCGCATTCGAAACGTGTTGAAGAACGGGATTGAGATTCCCCACGTAAGTGGTGGACTTAAGTTTCGTTTCCTTGGTTGCTCCTTGAGTCAGGTGCGTAACAGCAGCGCAATCTTCACGCGACTTGATCATCACGCAGTTCGACTGTGGATTGGAGACCTCTCGTTATTAACGTCTCCAGCCAAGTATCTTAAGCGTCTCGGTCAAGCATTCTCTTCTACTAAAGATACATTCGAAGTCAGCCGGAGTGTTCTTGACAACCCGGTGGACGATATCGAGAACGACCAGTACGTGTTTACGGACGGATGCGGCGAGATCGGGTTAGTTGGAGCAGAGAGTATTGTGAGAGAGCTTCAGCTCTCGTATACTCCGTCCGCTTTCCAAGTCCGTCTAGGAGGCGCAAAAGGAGTTTTAGTAGTATCCGATCTTGGCAACCCCGACATCAGCCGCGAAGAAGCTGTTGTTCTTCGCAAAAGCATGTCCAAGTTCTCGTCAAATCACACGATGCTTGAAATAGTCGCGTGTGCTGGGAAATCAGAGGCGTACTTGACACGCCAGAGCGTCCTGATCTTGAATGATCTTGGGATCAACGAGGACGTTTTCATGGAGATGCAGGAAGAGTTTCTGAGCGATCTTCGGTCACTGATTGCATCCGATAGTGGAGCATACTTCGGTCTGAAGGCTGTGCTGCCACCGAGTGTGATTTGGCGGATTGATGTGCTTGTCCGTAAGCTCGAGGTGAAAATTTTGGTTGATGAGTATCTGTCGTCGTTGGCAAGAACAATTTACCATTATCGACTTGCAAACACGGTGATGCGTGCCCGAATTCCCATCGCAAAAGGACGTACTTTGATGGGCGTGGCAGACTTCACTGGGACGTTGGAGTACGGAGAAGTGTTTGTGCAGTATTCAGACACGGACGAGGAAACTGGAAACGATAGCTACGTGCTGCTTGATGGAATTGACGTGGCGGTTCATCGAAGCCCCTGCCACCACCCTGGTGATATTCGAGTTCTTCGTTGCAGAACAGATGTGCCACCGCAATTACGCCAGCTGAAGGACTGCATCGTGTTCCCTTCTAAAGGCCCACGACCGCATCCTGACGAATGCACAGGCGGAGACTTAGACGGTGACATGTTCGTCGTCATCTGGGACGAGCGGTTGATCCCATCCAGGACACAAGTCCACGAACCGATGGCTTTCGACGAAGATAATGGAGGGGATACTAGTCCGAGAGGAGAGGAATACCACCAGTCAACTGATGACGCAGGTTTGATTGATTTTTACATCCACTCCATCCAGGATGATATCCTTGGTATTGCGTCGAATGCCCATCTCGCGCTGTGCGATTCATCGAATGACGGAAGCCTTGACGACAACGCAAAGATCCTGGCTCGTATTTGCTCGAAACAAGTCGACAGTCTTCGCGCAGAGAAGGATCTGGAGATTGTTCGCAACTTAGCGCCAAAGAGTTATCCCGATTTCATGCAAAACAAGGAGAAGCCGTCGTACCCGTCGAAGAAGATTCTGGGCAAGATGTATCGCCGTTGCAAGGCCATTTTTGACACGACGATGACCAAGAGTGTGAGTCGAATGCCCATCCGTGACGACCACTTCCTGGTAGCTGGATACACTGACTACGTCGAGCAGGCTAACCTGCTTTATCGTCAGTATAAGTTGCGTCTTCGAGCTCTGTTGCTCATGTCCGGAGCTCAAACGGAGGCAGAGCTCGCAACAGGTATGATTGTGGAGCCACAGAGCGAGTATAAAGCCGACTACTTTCGATTCGGAGAGCAATGCAAAGACGCTTTCTACGCTCTGCAGGCTGGCTTCCGATCTCAGTTCGACAGTGATACGTCCACTTTTGCGGCTGGTGAAAATCTCAAGCTCGCTTCTGCCTGTTATTTTGTCACCCATGACGACTCCGACGCGACTACGCGCTGCTTAAGCTTCCCGTGGATCGTGATCGATTTACTGACAACGATCAAAACTAGCAACGCCAGCAAAACGCATTACAAGGAGTGGAAACCCGTACGTTCGTCGTCAATTGGCCAAACGATTCCAAAGCTACAACTGTGCATGCTGGCTGAGATCGTAACCAACACGGAAGAGTTGCTCGCGAACTTGTTTGATCGACTGGTGGCTGTGACTTCGCTTCGCTCTGAAATGCCTGGAAACCTTCAAAAGAAGGAGTTCGATCTCCTTTTATTCGGTTCGTCAGGGCTGCTAACGTTTGAAAAGCAGTCTGACTTGGATGTGATGGTTCGTTGTTCGTCTTCGCGCGGCTCACTGGAGGCTATTGCGAAGGCTTTGGAAGGCTCACACGGCAACATCGATCTCAAAGACGGGATCCGGGTGCCGCTGTTGTCCTTTTCGTTCCAACAATGGTCAATTGAGATGTGTAAGTTTTCGTCTGGACCCGTGAAAACACGCCTCTTCCGTACGTACATGGAGAAGTACAACTTCTTCTGGCCGTGCGTGTACTTCTTGGTGCGCTGGGGAAAATGTGTGGGGCTGATCCGGCGACGCTCGGGTGGTGGACTGGATATGTTCTCACCGACAGGGTTCATTTGGCTGTTCATACGGTTCTGTACCGAGCAGAACTATGTGCAACCGATCAGCACCGGTACCATCACGCTGAAAGATATTCTCAAGAAGAACGATATCGATTCGGAGATCTCGTTTTGGACGGAATTGCTGACTCGAGTGGTGTCTGGGAATGAAGACGCATCTGGCTTCTCAGCAGCTGACGTTCTCCTTTCATTCTTCGAATATTACGCCAACCTATCAACCCCGTTCTGTGACTACGGATTCACCGACCCGCTCGACCCGGAGAATGACACCCAACTGGAACCTGAAGCTGTCACATTGTTCCGGTCTGAGTGTCATATCGCTCTTCACCAGCTGATTATCGCTCAGGGAGACATCAAGTATCTGCTGACACATCGTGAAGAGCAGACGAGTCGAATCACGCTCAGCCATGCGCTGAGTACGCGGATTCATGAGGCAAAAGATTTCTTCTCGCGAAAAATTCTGTTTGAAACGAAAGCAGAAGACTCGACTCGCCTGCTGTTCCAGCTTCACCCGAACTTGCTTCGCTCTGATTTGTATGTAGCTGAGATCATCGGACCTGGTGATGCGGTGCAACGTATCGAAGACCATATTCGAATGATTGAGCAGGAACTGGGCGCCCGGATGCCTTTCCGTTCGAACCGGAACTTTCACCACGAAGGCTCAAGTTTGTTGCTGTTTGAGGGAGCGGAATCGCAACAGGAGAAGATTGGCTTCCAGGATTACTTTGGCCAGCGTCACGGCGAGCACAATAACATCCGGTTACACCAAGCGCACCTGATCTGCTTCATGAATGGGCGTCAGTGGTACGAGCATGCAGGAGCGACGTTCTGCGCCAAGTTTATTCAGCAAATGATCAAGCTGTCGAGATACGAACATCTCAATCCTGGTGTGACTAAGGCTAAGGCTTTTGTGCGCTTCGGACACCATTACTTGATCAACTTGCCACGTTCGTTCGACGAGGAGACGATCATGCTAGCTAGCATCAAAAAGCTAGAAGACGAGTTCGAGCGAGGTCGAACAGCACGAGAATTGTATGAGTCTGTTCTCATTGCAAAGCAGAAGCAGAGGGCACAAGCAGAGACCGCAGAGGGCAATCAAGATGATGCGTTTCCAGAAGCCAGTAGCCCGGATGGTGAGGTAGTATGGGGAGAATATTCCGATGAAGAGCAAGAAGGCTGGCGTGTTGGTGGATACGATGAACGAGAAGAGTATGACTTTGGTTCTGAAGGCGGTAGCGGTAGTGGCAGTGTAGGACAAAAGCGGAGGCCACGACCTCCACGAATGAAGCTACAGAGAGCTGCTACCATCGCAAGAGGTGACAAGGGAGCCACCCATTCGTTCTACTCAATGGTTGAGCCGGAGCATGCGCCATGGACGAAGGAGTACGCCGAAAAGCGTCTGGGCATGACACTGGTAGAAGAATCGGATTCCTACCAGGTATCCATAGTGCACCAGTCGTTTGAGTACAACGTTAGACTGACGGATGATCTCCAACTAGTGAAGATATCGACACGTCCGTCACGTTGGTTCAGCGCTACGTTGAAAATGCGGCAAGAAATGGACGACGAGAGCCACATGATGGATTCCACGCCAGACGTTCGCTTTTACGTGTCGACTACGGAGGAAATGCCCAAGACCGACAGTTTATTCGTGAAACTGGCTGACTGCTGCAAGGAAGCACCCGACGGCCGAGGTGTCATTGAATTCTGCAATGAGACTCGAGACAAGGTGCGCATTAGCCGTCACCTGGTGGATGCTGGCGAGTCGCCGGCATGTATCGGGACAGTTCGACACGTACGCGGAGCGAAGTACTCCAGTTTCGAAAAGGACATGCAGCTGTCATTGATGCATATCCGCGAGTTCAGCATCCCGGATCGAAACCCGGAAGATGGCTTCATGAGTGTTCGTGACAAGGTCGAGGCGGAATTTGCACTCCCAGCGTTGACGCCAGAGCGCCGCTTGTTACCAGCTTTCGCGCGTGATTTCCTGGCTACTGGAATGGAGTTTGTGGACTTCTTGCGCACTCAAGCAGACATGGGGATGCCCTGAGATGATGAATTAATGTTCGTGAGTGAAAGGCTTGTGATTGTTTTACTCGCAACTCCACGATGTGTAGTTGCCTCATGTTTTATTTGTTACTTGAGTTTAGTATTTATCCTGAGTTCGCAAAGCGAAGTCGGACGAAGTAAACGCATACAAAATCACTGTACCCGCCCTCTATGTCTATCTGGATTGCCTCGACGGGCTCCGTGCTTTCTTTGTCATCCTCGTCGCTCCCCTTTGCTGCATTGTCATTGCGACGTGTCAAAGGGAATCGATGTGTATCCAGCTTTCCGCTGTCAGCAGCACTCACTTCAAGCTCTCCAACTATCGACATCTTGTTAATGGCAACATTTTTATTGGCTGACGCGCGCAGCTGAAGCTTCGTAACGTGTCTACACGTGATCTCCACGGCTGCAACCCGTTTGGGCTCACGCAGTACGATCCGGAGGAATTGCGGGAACATCCCACTCGACACCCACAGCGTGCGACTGCCATTCTCCAGCACATTCTCTGGGCTATAAATCTCGTCGTAAGAGCTACTGAAAACCTCCGAGGCCAGTGAGAGACCAGTATCACCCAAGTGATGGGCCTCTAGTCCGTGGAATGATGAAGTGACTTCAGAGTCTTCGGTCAGTGGAGTCAAAGTCGACATCCGAGGCTTGGCACTAATGGGTCGAAAGCTCTTCCTCCTGGAGGCAGCGGGTGTCAACTGTTCCTGCTGTTGCTGATCTTGCTCAGCTTGAATCCTCTGAAGCTCCAAGTCTCGCAGTTGCTCTTCTAAGGCCGCACGTCGATCGACATCGTTAGAAGACGAGATTAACCGCTTGATCTCTTGGATCTACAGTTCGTACCGACAAGAACTGGTTAGCAGTGCAACTTAAACACTCTTCACAAAGTAAATCTACCTGTGCCTCGAAGTCGACATCCAATTCGTTGATGGCCTGCGGCATGTTCAACGTCCGAACTGCTTCCAGCCGCGGTGTCCCTCACGGCTACCGAGGTGAGCCGTTTCGGAGCATTTACACCAGCCACACTCGCCCTTATAATAGGGTATTTTTCCTAAAAATAAGGGCGAGAGGATGCACAACCATCCACTTTCAATACGAACATGCTTCATGTGCCTATCACTTGCTCATAACAATGAGTGAAAGGCCGAAAACGCGTCAACGCTCAAAGTGCTTCGAGCGGGGTGCTCTTCTCAATCAACAAAGAATGTGTTTGTACTAAGTTTTATAAAAACTTTGTTGAAGTTGAAACAGCACCCAACACACCGTCTAAATCTTCCATCATAGTCCTGCAAAACATCCGCCTACGGCTAGAAGTTGATGGATAATTGCCCAAGTAATGATCGGTTTGTCAATGGGAAGTACGAAAACAATTGCTCACTCCGCAGAGGATACACATCAGTTGAAACTGGAAATGAGATCGTGTTGAATACATAATGGCCATTAATGAAAACCACAAAAAAAAAGTATTAAAGTGTGAGGGCATAAGTTTTTTTTCCAAAAATTATGCATTTTCAACCGCACTATAATAATGTACAATAATAATGTTCTAATGGATTAATCGGGGGCCCTGCCATTGAGTACATTATTTCGCCGTTAGATCGAACAGCTTCCCAAAGACTTATGCAGAGAAAAGAGATTGCGACGCCACTGCCTTAACAGCAACGCCGGAATCAACATAATGCGTTTGTATTTGAGTTAGTCGAGTTATCTTCACTAGTTCCAATCTACCAGCGGGACTACTCTACAACTTCCAGCTTTACATTGATAAACACGCAGTGCTGGGCTTGGGCGTCTGCCGCATGCCGACTTACATATCCACCACCTTGTGCAACATGGCCTCCTCCTCGGCGGGCGTGTATTCCGGGAAGTCCGAGGACTCGCAGAAGTGCTGCTGGATCTCGGCCGTGAGCTCCTCCTCAGCCAGAGCGTGAGCATCCACTACAGGCATTTTCATCGGAATTAGAGGCACTGCCTGACCCAGCAGCGTGTCCTCCGTGGGCGAGAGCTCGGGAAAAGCCGAGGCTTCGGAGAAGTGTCTAGCCGCCATTTCCTCCAGCGTCCCATTTAGGTCCAGATTCGCACTGGCGGCGGCATTGTTGAGGCTCGTGAGCGGTGGCCTGGTTGTCTGGAGGCCAATCAGCAGCGGGCGGGAGGAGGCGATGCCGCGAGCTGCTAGTTGACGCTGGAAGGTCGGCGAGCGGATGAGGCGAAGCATTGTTGCTGGAAAAAGGCTTGGGCTCGGTTGGGATTGCTCTGGCTTGGCTGGTTCAAGGAAGAATCGACATTGAGGCTTCACTACACACGAGATCTCGTTGAAGTTGCTGTTTTTATTATACGCGCTCTTATTGGCTGATTCTGTAGTTTGGTGGTCAAAGTTTGAAAAAAATCAAACGGCTACGCTCTAGAAACGGCTAGTAGGTACCATGGGAAGTACTGGCCTCAAACTTCAGTATTTTTCGTACCTAAGTGGATGTATCTTCGATTTTGGGTTCCAGGTTGAAGCTGCATAAATCATCACCTTTGTGTCCCCGTCCCAGGGAATAGCAGCGTCGCCCATTTCTGCTTCCGATCTCCTGATCATTCTTCGCCCCCCCCCAATTGCTCAAATGTGGCTCCTGACGGTCAAGCCTTCACCTCAACGGCGCTGTCATGACGGCCGAGCTAGACATTGAGGGCTCGCTTAAAGAGGCTGCGTCGACGCGTTTCTCAGAGTCGTCCGCTTTTCCGTAGCTCTTGCCCATGGTGGACACGTTGCTGTTCACTACGGTGCCTAGAACCAAGCACGCTGACCAGCCTCAATTGTGCTGCAAAGAGAGCCCAATTCAACTTTGAGGGTACTCCAGAGGAGGCTGCATCGAATTATTTCTCTGAATCCCCAGCTTTCCCGGAGCTCTCACCCATAAAGGACATGCTACTATCGGAGATCGAGCCTCGCATTAAAGCCAGGCAGTCTACCTTGGCCAGCCTGCAGCGAAATCAAATCTGGGACTTCGTCATGGACGCGCACTCACTCGCACGTGAGAAACTCACTGAAGAGATGCAGCAACACTTCTGTGCCTCATCTGACTTCCCAGAGTTCTCTGCTGCCGAAGAGGAGGCAATGTTGCACAAGGAGTAAGCGATCGACCGTCGATCTTCTTGTGTTTTGCATGTTGTAAATCTCGATCAGAACTTCATCACGTTTTAAAGTTGCACTAAATCGTCTCGAATTCATTGCATCATAATTTGTTCTCTACCCAGATATCTGGCGTTGAACAAAATCTTCATTCCGCATTTTCCAGCCCTTGCTCAAGTGAACTAAGGCGTATCCACGTGGATACGAGGGGCGGATAATGCCGCCTAAACTCTGTTTCAAGTTCCAGAGCACTGGCAAATGTCGCTATGGAGACTCGTGCAAATTTGCCCACTCTAATGGCCAAACTTCAACACCAAAACTTGCGAACCCAAGAGAAATCTTCACTTCAAGAGCTAACGTTATCAATTCCATCGACTCTGCGCCGTTCTCGCTGGAGACTCTGCACACTCAGTTAACAGACAAGTTAGCGTCGGGTGCGCTCTACTCGAGTCATTCCGATGCTCTGGTAGCGTTTTGGCCCGGTCGAGACCGCTTGGAGGTGCTTTGGAAGGGCTTTCTCATGCCTCAAGACCCTGGCAGCGTCTGGAGAGTCAACAGCCAGACGCAAGCACTAAACTTTATTAACTCTGGGCTTCACGCTCTGTCTAAGGACAATCTGGCTCCTCAGTTTGTAAGAGAACTGGGTAAAAATGAGGGACGTGGAGTGCTCATAATCCAGGAGTTGCTGGACCTCACGTACTCAAACGACGCCGGCAGACGCCGTGACGTCGTGTCATTTCAACGAGGTCTCGTGCCGTTTGTGACCATGTTGACCATGCGACGCATGGAGATGGTGAGTCAGCACATGGATGAAGCGAACTACGTCTACGCGTACTTGCGTACAGCCCACGTGCAGCTATTTCGACTGTATTTGGAGCATTTGGAGCAGATTGTAGAGCGCCACAGTACTGAGGACAGCGTGGTGACACACACGAGCTTCCTTCGTGAAGCCGAAGGTCGAAAACACGCTCCATTGTGCTTCACGCAGGTCTGTCTGCCGATAATCCGGCTACTGTACTTGTTGGGCAACAAGTTTAAGGATTTTATCTACGAAGACGCTTTTCGAGAGACTGTCAGCTATATCGACGCATTGACGACCGAGTGGATTGATGCTAGTCAAGAGAATGAGTCCTCCCTTGACTCAGCCTTGTGCTTTAAGGTCATGAGAGAAGAGATCAAGAGGCTGCACAAGATGATCCGACGTGGAGAGCGTGGTATTGAGGCTGGTGTAGCGATGAGAAGAGAAGCAGAACGGAGACTAACTCGAGGCTACGAGGAGCCGGAGCCTTGGGACGTTATCGAAGTGGGCATTCCAGGCGAAGCAGAGCTAGCTGACGGCACGGTTGGTCCACGTCACGACAATGACCATCGCGACATTTGTGATATTCAACTTTTACCAACAACCGCGGAATGTTTGTCATGTGAGATGCCGTTGCTGCCCGGTAACTATCCATTTCATGAAAATGCCCATTGGTTACCGCCAGGACCCGAGCGATGGGTGGACACGCACTTCCGACTGTACCGCGAAGATCTGTGTGGCACTATTCGATCTTGTCTGCAGGACCTTGGATACCGACTGTCCGAAAGTGGAGGCAATCTTGCTGCCGGTCGACTGAGAGATGCCGACGTGGACTACAATGTGTACCCGATCGTTAAGACTGCCATGCCGCTAAGACACACGGAGAGTCGAGGCGAGCGAGATCGAAGCCGTCGATTCGAGCGTCATGGCCTCTGCGTCGACGTCCTATTCCCACAACCATCAGCAGGCGAGATGACTGGGAGAACGAAGACGAAGAAAAAGACTGACACTAGAAGCCGAAAGGAGCTGTGGGAGAAGACCGGCCGACTGCCCTTTAACGGCATGGTAGCACTCGTCGCATACGTTGATAGTACCTTGCAAGTGGTGTTTTGTCAGATCGTGGAGCGTGACCTGGAGCGACTTGTTAAGGACGTTGTGGAGGTGACTCTGCAGCCATTTGAGCTCCAAGACTTTGCAACAGTCGAGCAGTGGCAACAGTCAACAGCTGCACGAGGAAATGAACAGCGTATATTGCTGTTGGAGTTCAACAAGGTTTTCCTCGTCGCTTATGAGCCAGTGCTTCGTGCACTGCAAACACTCGAGCCAGCTACCTTGCCATTTCTGGAGTATTTAGCTCCCGAGACTGCACCAGTACCCGGAGCCACTCGTATGGAGTCTCCCATGTACTGCTTGACCAATGGCTTCACTTTTGATCTCAGCTCGGTGGTACGCCGATATCCTGGTCAAACTATTGGTCGGCCGCAGTCTTTGCGTTTGAATCCGCTTCATCAAAACTCTCGCGAGTTATGTGAAGCTGCGTTGGTACGGTACTCTACTCTGGAGCGGGACCAAGCCAAGGCGTTGGTGGAAGCGCTGAGCAGTCGTGTTGCGTGCATTCAAGGTCTGCCTGGCAGTGGCAAATCGCTCATCGGATCCATGCTCACGCAGATTATAGTGGAGGCTCAAGTCTCGCCCGTGTTGGTTGTTTGTTACACAAACCACGCACTGGACCAGTTTTTGTGCCATCTTCTGGATATCGGGATAACGAGTCTCGTACGTATCGGAGGGCAATGCAAGGAACCACGACTAGAGAAATACAATCTCAACAACCTGTTCAAGACATATCAGCGTTACGAATTAAAGCTTCTGTACGGGAAACTCGACGAAAACGCAGACGCCATCGCGCTAGCGCTACGAGAGCTGAACTCGCAGACACGTCGACCAACGTGGAAGACGTTGAAATGGTTCCTGGAGACCAATTACCCCGACATATATGATCATTTCGCTGATCGCAACGCTGAGCTGTTCGAGGATGGCTGGGAGATTGCTGGCTACGATGATATCTTGGACTATTGGATCCAGGGAGAGGATCTCGGTATTTCTCAGCGTGGTCCTCGTCAGGGTGGATGGACGAGAGATTCGAATGTGTGGATGTGGAGTCTTGCAAAGCGTCGTGGGGCATTAGCACAATGGGTTGGGGTCTTGCGAACTGGACGCGTGGAAGAGCTGATCGCAGCTCAGAAGGCTTACTGGGCAACGATGAAGAAGATTGAGACACTAAGACAGCAAGCAGATGTAGAAGTACTTAAGCGAGTGCAGATCATCGGTATGACCACGACCGGAGTCGCGAAAAACCAGAAGAAGATCGCGGCTGTGGCATCTCCCGTGGTGATCTGCGAAGAAGCGGGAGAAGTACTTGAGGCGCAGCTTATGGCGTGTCTGTCTCCGTCCTGTCAGCAGCTTGTGCTTATTGGCGACCACAAGCAACTACGACCTCACATTGCCGACTATAATCTCAGTGTGGAGAGTGCTGCTGGCAAGCGGTTTGCTCTCGACGTGTCTCTGTTTGAGCGCCTAGTTGGGCCGACGTCTGGCTTACCTTTCTGGATGTTGACGGAGCAACACCGTATGCGTCCGCAGATCTCTCAGTTGATACGAATGCTGTTCTATCCTGAAGTTCGAGATGCTCGTGAGACGTTGGAATACCCTCCTCTCTTAGGTGTGGACAAGAACGTGTTCTTTGTGAGCCACAGTCACCCTGAAGACGGCGCGTCTGCAGTCTTGGGGGCATCCGCTCGCTCTCATTCCAATGAATATGAAGTTGCATACCTCGTTGCAGCTCTGAGATATCTACTGCAACAAGGCTACCATACCAGTGATATTGCGATCCTCACGCCTTATGTCGGTCAGCTCATGAAGCTTCGATCTGCTTTGCGAGGGCAGTTTATATTAGAGCTGAACGAACTCGATTTGGAGGAAATTCAACGCACTTTTGACGATGACGAAGACGACGACACGGAGGAGACTGGACACGATAGCTCTGCTGCCTTAGGAGCGACTAAGAAGGAGCTATCCGGTGCTATTCGTGCCGCTACTATCGACAATTTTCAAGGGGAAGAAGCCACTGTTATATTGGCGAGTCTGGTGCGTAGCAGCACGAACGTTCACGGCCGAGGAACGATTGGATTTCTGAAAACTCCGAATCGAATTAACGTCCTTCTCTCCAGAGCGAAGCATGGATTGATCCTTGTGGGTCATGGCGAGTTGCTACGTGCAAAGTCTCCACTGTGGCAAAAAGTGCTCGACCAACTGCAAAGCGATGGCTGCTATGGCAAAGGGCTGCCCTTACACTGCCAACAACACCCAGACTACCAACGTATCGCGGCGAACCCGTCCTCATTTGCTTTGCTAGCCCCCGATGGAGGCTGTTTACGTCCTTGTGGAAGAAGATTACCACGTTGTGGACACGCGTGTCCGAAGTTATGTCACGTGGATCAACCGTCTCACAGAGCTGTCTACTGCACACAGCCATGTCCACGACTCCAAGAAGGTTGCGGACACGTGTGTCCTGGCGTCTGCGGTGACGCATGTGGACGATGCGAAGTGCTGGTGGGCTCGATTGCTCTTCCTTGTGGCCACACTTACAGGAACGCGCGGTGCTTTGAGGCCAAGATGCCCTCAAAGCTGAAGTGCAAAGCTCCAGTGGACAAGCTCGTTCCTGAATGTGGACACCTGCAGCGTGTTACCTGTAGCACTACCAAGGTCAAGTGCACGCATAAATGCGGCGCGGTACTTCCCTGTGGCCACCCTTGCTCTCGTAAATGTAGTGACTGTGTTGCAGACACGTTAAAGGCTCGTGAGGGAGAGCCTGAGCCGGACTACCCGATCAAACCCACTGAACACGGCGCGTGCCAAAAAGTGTGTGAGCGATTGCTGCCGTGCTGCCACAGATGTCGAGGAATTTGCCATGGAGCAGCGCTCTGCCCACCATGTCAAGGTATATGTGACGTGTTCAGCTGCGAACATGGGTCTTGCAATCATCCGTGCAGTGATCCGTGTGCTGCATGTACTGAACGGTGCAGTTGGAGCTGCAAGCACAGTGGTGAATGCTCTCTACCCTGTGGCGCTCCATGCAACCGGCGTCTATGCGATCTTCGATGCACGAAGGCGCTCACATGTGGTCACCAGTGTCCAAGTGTCTGCGGAGAAGACTGCCCTTCACGCGAGTTTTGTCATATCTGTGGGGATGACGACGTGAAACAACGTGTGGCTGACGTGATTCTCTTCCAGACATATGGAGAAATTGATCCGTCAGAAGACCCTGTTCTGGTCCTTCCGTGCTGTTCAATGGTCTACACGATGGCTACACTTGATGGCACACTTGAAATGAGCACGTACTACGACAGCAATGGGAAACCTGTTGGTCCGCTTCCTAGGGGGTATATCGATACACCTCAGTGTCCGAACTGTAAGAAGCCGATCCGTGGACTCCGTCGCTATGGTCGCGTAACCAAAAGAGCCGCGATCGATGCCGCTGAAAAGAATTTTATTACTCACTCTCTGCGTCAGATTAAGTCACTTCAAGAGCGTGCAAACGCAGTGATTGAGACTGGAGATCTGACTCGCGATAAAACGTTGCGGCACGACCTTCGTATGTTTGGCGCAGCCGTGGCAAGACCACCCTGTCAGAAAGCATTTGAGGCGTGTGTGGCTCTGCTGACGAAGGCCAGAGGAGGCCAAGGTGGTGGAGATGTGACCATTGATCTGAGTATGCTTCCCGTACCCAACTCAAAGTTTCCGTATCGTGGATTCTTCTTCCATCTCTCTGCGCAGCTCTCACAGTTATCTACTGGTGTAGGCAAAAAGGAATCATCGCGATATGCACGACAGGCGGTTGACGAGTTTGAGAAAGGGTCTTTTTCAATGCAAGCAGGAGAAGCGCGACTCGTGCTGGTGCAGACTCTACTCGCGAATGCACAAGAAGAACTAAGCACGTCAGTGAGAACGGAGAAGGAGCGTAAAGCACGCGAGGAAGTAGTGACGCGGGTCGCACGTGAGGTGCATGATGTGCTTATTAACCTGGAGGCGAGTGCTGCATCCTTTTTGACCAAGTATGGAGAAGACGTGCGCCATCTTCGCCAAAAATTGGCTAGCGTTGTCCAGCGCGCGAGGAGTAGTACATTTTATCAAGAGGTGTCGGTGGACGAGATGCGAGCAATCAAGACAGCAATGCAAGCGGAATTTCGAGGCTCGGGTCACTGGTACCGTTGTGAGAATGGACACTCGTACTCAATTGGAGAGTGTGGAATGGCAATGGAAGAAACCCACTGCCCGGAATGTGGAGCTCGTGTGGGCGGACAAGATCACAGGTTGGTTCAAGGATCTAGCCACGACTCACAAATGGATAGGCTCTAGCGTGCGACGACCAGCAGAATGGAT